TAAGATAATTAGATTTACTGCAGTAAATATTTCGGAAACAAACATTTAAATAAAATGAACAATCATATTGTGATAAATAAAAGTTCATCTAAACAAAATGAACAATGAGCACAACATTTACTTTTTTTCTTCATGTATATTAATTGATTTTATTTTGTAGCAAATTTTGTGTACGGTTGAATTAATAAGACGGGATCATATTGAATAATAATGCAAAGCAGAAGGTTCATTGGTAGTTATATATGAAGACTGAATTATTGAGTAAATAACCATATTTGATTTGCATAATAATCAATGCCTCTTAATTGCAAATTTTTGTTTGTGGTTGATATTTACAAAGTTCTGTGTGAATGTTGTAGCCTTTTAAAGTTCAAAAATAGTAAGACAATTCTTTTTTACTACAGATAATTTTCAAATAATAAGTTTGCTTTTTTATTTTTTGTTCCTTCATGTTTATACCTCTACCATACTACCGTTCAGAGCATGATAGCAAGATGAAAGTGTTAGATTTACCGGTGCGATGATTAACCAATGACGGCGGCAACGATTTTGTTCTTTTTTCTCCGGGCATCGCACAGGTAATTTACTAGTTTTAAAAGAAAACAATTATCTCATGTTACATGAGATAATTTTCTTATGCAATAGAGATATAGTAGTGAGTTCCACATTATTTTTTGTTGTTGTTTTATTTTAAAAATGATAGACCCCACTATATTGTCTCTATTGGGAGTGTTCATCAACCAATCCAAACCGATTCAAACCGCGGTAACCGAATCGAAAAATCAATAACCGAATAAACTGAAAATCGAAAAACCGGAAAAAAACTGCAAATTTTAAGTGGATTGGATCGATTTTCGGATTAGTTGATGAAAATCGATCCAATCCAAACCAATCTAATATATTAATTCCCATCTACCTACTTGGGTATTTCCCAATCATAGCCCAAAAATTTCTAAACCCAAGATCTATTAACCCATCAATTAAACCCAATAAAAAACCTAATCACATCTCATCAATACAATTACATCTCTGTAGAGCTTCATATCTCATTGCCCAAAAAAAAATTATATTATCGTTTACTGATGCTTTTGTATTTCAAAAAAATAAATAAAATTACAAAGCCAATATATACAAAAGATGTTAGTTGCATAATAATCATGAAATAGATTTTAGTATTTTCAAAAAACCGAAAATCGATTCAATCCAAATCGAGAAAAATTGGATTGGATCGGATCGGATTTGAAAAAAAATCCAAACCGAATGGATGATTACATGATCAAACCAAAGGGATTGGATCAGATGATATTTGCTTACAAAACCGATCCAATCTATCCCACGAACACTCCCAGTCTCTGTTACATTTTACATGAGATAATTATCTCATACAACTTGACATAAATAGATCCCTAATTTTAAAAGCATTAACGTCTCTTATGTAATAAAAAATAAAATTATTTTTTATAATCTTAAATAATATTATTTTAAAATCATAAAAAATAATTTTATCTCCTATTATAACAGAGACACTTCTCTTATAGTTAAAGGAAAAGATATATTTATCACCAAAAAAGTTTATTATCTTTACAACCAACCTAATCACCATTGATTTCCGTCAATCTAACGGTTATAATATATTGGAAATTATTGGGTCGCATTTATTAATTAATTAGTAATTTCCAATAAATTATAACCGTTAGATTGACGGAAATCAACGGTAATTAGATTAATTGTAAAGGTGATAAATATTTTTGGTGATAAGTATGTGGAGGGTTACATTTACAACTTTTTTTTGTTTACAACTCTTACAACCTCAACTATGTTTTCTCGGGAGTACATTGCTGGAGAGTGTGTTCCCAGGAGAATATAGTTGAGGTTGTAAGAGTTGTAAACAAAAAAAGTTATAAACGTAACCTGCCTCGATAAATATATCCTGCCTAAAAAAGAAATTGATATATTTCAGGGAGGGGTTATATTTATAACCCAAATAATTTACAAACTCTTACAACCATATCTTAACCGTTGATTTTCACCAATCAACGGTTGTCATTTATTGTGAATTAATAATTAATTAATAAATTTGATTTTCGAATATCTTAACCGTTGATTGACGGAAATCAACGGTTAAGATATGATTGTAAGAAGTTGTAAACAAAAATAAGTTGTAAGTATAGGCTTTTTGACCTATTTACCCTTCATTAATTAATTAATAACCATTTTGCCCCTTATTCGAAACTATCTACCAATCTGCCCCTCTTTAATCGATTAACTTGAAGATTTAATCGATTAAATGATCAAAACTGTCAAAAATGGTTGACTTGAAGATTTAATCGATTAAATCTTTAAGTTAATCGATTAAATCTCCCAACATGCAATAAATGTCAAATCTCCTCCATAAACAAGATTCCATGCATATGAAGCAAATCAGCAAATTAATAAGAGTTGATTGTGACTGGTATTAAATAGGAGCTGATTGCTATTTGTATTTAATAGGAGCTGATTGCATTTTGTATTTAATAGGAGTTGATTGTGTTTTATATTTAATAGGAGCTGATTGCGTTTTTTTAGGAGTTGCCATTTTATGAGTTGGTTACATATTGTCACCAATTCAAAACGCAATCAGCTCCTATTAAATACAAAACGCAATCAATCAATGCTTTTACGCTCATTTGGTATATTTACTCATTTCATTGAAATGTTGCCTATAAATAAGCTCAGAATTACAGATTACAAATAAATTTGAATTGGTGACAATCTATAACCAACTCGTAAAATGACAACTCCTAATAACACGCAATCAGCTCCTATTAAATACAAAACACATTCAACTCCTATTAAATACAAAACGCAATAAGCTCCTATTAAATACAAAACGCAATCAATCAATGCTTTCATGCTCATTTGGTATATTTAATCGATTCAATATAAGTTTTAATCGATTAAATCAATTAAGAGGGAGATTTAATCGATTAAATTTTCAAGTCAACCATTTTTGTCAGTTTCGACCGTTTAATCGATTAAAGAGAGGCAAACAGCTTCGGATAAAGAGTAAAATAGTTATTAATTAATTAATAAAAGGTAAAAGGGTAAAAAAAAAAAAACTATATTTCACACTTAACAAATCTTATATTATAAAGGAATTCCATCTTATATTATAAAGGAATTCCATTATGTGGAAACCTTGCTGACGTGTCGCACTGTGGTTCAATTTCACCATTGTGTTCACACTACAACATTTAAAAAGTTTCCTTTAATGGTAAATCGGTGAATATAATAAATACAAAAAAGAATTATATTTTCAATTGACAGAATTTGTTACTTTAAATCAATGGTCAAGATTGCTTATTCATTGATTTATAACTACTAAATCACTCTTTGTCGTCATCTTTGTTTTTTAAATAATTGATGTTAAGTCATATTCATTGATTTATTCACATTTTTTAAAGAAGACAATTCAAAAACTATAAATCACTCTCATTTATACAATTCCTGATACGCATTATTCTTCAACGTCGGTGATTGCTTCTCTGTTTTTTCTTCTTAAACAAAATATGAGTTCAAAATATGATTTTCTGAAGGATGTTAATCCTGCCAAGGAGGACTGGAGGATTAAGGTGAAGGTGGTTCGGACTTGGAAAGTTCCTAACTTTCAGCGTAAAAATTTGGAGGACAATCTTGAAATGGTTTTATTGGATGAACAAGTTGTGTTCTGTGTTTTAAAATCTTCCATCTTTGTTTTGATCATTTTAGTTAACGTTGTTGACATAAGTTGGCTCCATTCTTTTGTAGGGTGGTAGGATCCACGCCACTGTCAAAGGTACCTTACAGGTGCGGAATAAAATCAACGAAGGAGAGTGCTATTTTATAAAAAAATTTGGAGTTGGATTCAATAGTGATGTGTTTAGGCCAACCAAGCATCAGTATCATTTGTCTTTCAACTTGAGGACTGATGTTAAATCGATTGTTGTTTCTGATATTTGTGCGAGTGATTTTGATTTTGTTGATTATAACATCATTGAGAAAGAAACGTCTGACTTCCCTTATTTAGTCGGTAATAGATTCTTCCTCACTGTTATCCTTTTTTTAATTATTGCGGGTTTTATTTTTTTCCCATACTCTTTGCTGCCTTTTTTTAATTCTTAAACGTCATTGGTTTATTCTGTATCATGACTATTTCCTTATTTTTAAACTCTTTGCGGTTATAGTTTTGTGTTTTTAATGTTTTGTCACGAGTAATCTTATTCTGTATCATTATTTTTTTCATTAACTGTGTTTTTTATGTTTCTGTATTCGTTTTTTATTATTGCATAATTTTTTTCACAAACTCTTTGCTGCGTTTTTTTTTGTAGACGTCATTGGTTTAATCTCAGGAATTGGGAAAGTTTGTGATCATGCGGTTTCTGGTAGGAAGACAAAAATGGTGGTGTTGGAGCTTGCGACCTGAGGTACTTACAAATGTTTAGTTAAATGAATTATTTTTGTCCAGCTCTGTTAGCTTATATTTTACGCGTATTAACGTTGTGCTTGCTGCAACTCACGTGTAGGGGTCATAAGTTGGAGTGCACTTTGTGGGAGCATTATGTGGATGAGGTCCAATCTTTTTTGGCAGACAACGACGATCCTCATAACGTCTTGATAGTCCAACTGGGAAGGATTAAGTGTTTTAGAGGTATGTTTTTTCCAAACAACGTTGTTTTAATTTTTGCTTTTATAATCAGTTTTTATGCACGTTATTTTAATTAATTTTACTTCTGTATTCAATGTTTATCTGAACCTTTTAACTCAATAGGTAAGGTCGGGATAACAAATACAAAATATACAACAAGGATTGTAATGGATTCAAAACTGAATGAGATTGTTGAGTTCAAAAAACGGTGTGTACCTTCTTTCTTCAGCTCATTTATTCGGTTATTGATTAATGGATTTTCATATTTTTTTGATTTTTTAATTATTAATTTTTGCGTTATGGTCTCTCGATTGATGGTGTGGAAAGTAGTACAAGGATGACTCAATTGTCTACTCAGTCATCCTATTCTTTCGAAAATGATTTTCTTAAGGAGACTGAAAAAAAGTCTATCAGTGATGTGAAACTTTGTGTTGAGGTAAATGTTCAAATTTTATTTTTACTTTTCTTTAATTTTTACTTTCCTTTAATTCTGTCAATTTTGTATTGATGATATTTTATGTTAAACTGTGATTGCTTTAATTAAGGTAACTACCTGCATCACATACGGGACTATAAAGGCAATTGAGAGCAAATACAACTGGTGGTACAAGTCATGCAAAAAGTGTCCATTTTCCGTTTATGAGGATTTTGAGAAGTGGTATTGTAAGAACTGCCAAAAACATTGGGAAAATTATTATCCGAGGTAAAATATTCTTCTTAGTTTATAATCTGTCTTTAATCCGTATCATTCATGTACGTTGCTGATATACAATTTCGCAAAACTCCAGATTTAGTGTTCAGGTCAGAGTTGTGGATAACACAGATTCCGCATCCTTTATTCTGTTTGATCGCGACTGTGTGTCTTTGTTGGGAATGAGTGCTGCTGAATTGCGCGAGCTGCATTTCAAGAGGGTTTGTTTTTTAATTGCTGTGTTATGGTTAAAATGTATTTTTTGTCGTTTTGTGCTCTCTGTTTGCGCTGTCTATGTTCTGTTCTTTTTTTTTAGAATAATTTTTTTTCCCTTTTCATTTTTTTTAGGGTGCCGATTTGGATCAATTTCCAAATGAGTTAAATGTTCTGAATGAAAAGTCAATGTTGTTCAAGATAAATGTTAAGCAAAAGGATTTGAACACAAATAGTGAGCCCAAATATCAAGTTTCCAAAATTTGTATCAGCGAAGACATAATCTCAGCGTTCATTAAGTCTCTTATAGATCCAAATGTATGCTGCTTATATATTTCTTTTAGATAACTATTTTTCTTATACATTATATTTACTGTTGTTGGTTGTTGTCTATCACAGGATGAAGCAAATTTCGATAATGCACGCGAAAATGAAGTTGTTTCGTCGGAACTGGAAAAGGCTGCGGTGAGCTATGAATTCGATTTAGATTCATGTTATTAAAAATATATAAATACATATTTGACATACCTTTTTTATATGAAAAAAAAAACAAAAAAAAACACAGGATGTTGAAAGTCAGACCTGACAATGCTGACGTTAGTGATGTCTCTCTGACGATGTTGACACCTGTGCTCACTTCTCACGTTCATTAAGCATTGCTGCCTTAGTACTTATTAGCTTTTTTTGCCCGTATTCAGCAAATGTTGCTTTAGTGCTTATTTTGTTTTTTTTTTCCCGCATTCAGCAAATGATGCTTTAGTACTTATTTCGCTCTCTTTTCTTTCTTTGATTACTTTATCTTTGTTAATTTTCTAATTTTTTTTCCTTTGAATTTTATGCTTTGTCAGATGCAATTCTTACAGAAGAGTCTATAAAAAGCATAACTCTTAAAGAAATTGATAAGGTACTGCAGAGCAATGGGAAATGCCTCTCTGATTATCCGTCAATGCCACGCATCAATAGTGAAACTTTGCTTGATATGCAAAATCGATTAGTGTTGGATGAATTAATGTATGACAGATTTGCTTTGGAAGAGGAGCATAAAAGACTAATTAATTCCCTCACTGATGAGCAGAAAGCTGTTTATGATAAAATTGTTTCAGCAGTTACGGCAGGCAATGGAGGGTTATTTTTCCTATACGGGTTCGGTGGTACAGGAAAAACATTTATTTGGAATACTCTTTCAGCATCTATTAGATCAAAAGCTGGAATCGTACTTAATGTTGCTTCTAGCGGAATTGCTTCCCTTCTGCTTCCTGGAGGACGAACAGCGCATTCTAGATTTCGTATTCCTATTCAAATCAATGAAGATTCAATGTGTAATATAAGGCCGAAATCTACTATAGCTGAGTTGCTGTCAAAAACAAAGTTAATCATTTGGGATGAAGCTCCAATGGTACATAGATTTTGCTTTGAGGCTCTGGATAGGACATTGAGAGATGTTCTTAGAATTTCTGATACAAGCTGTGTTGATATGCCATTTGGTGGAAAAGTTGTTGTTCTAGGAGGTGACTTTCGGCAAATATTACCTGTCATTCCTCATGGCAGCAGACAAGATATAGTTCATGCAACCATCAATTCTTCTCATCTATGGTCCCATTGTCATTTATTAACTTTGACCAAGAACATGCGTCTTAATTCTGGAAGTAGCGCTCACAATTTAGAGGAAATAAAAGAATTTTCTGAGTGGCTACTTAAAGTTGGGGATGGTAATCTTGGAGATGATGTTGATGGAGAATCTATTATAACAATTCCAGATGAATTGTTGATTAGAGAATCGGAAGATCCGCTGTCGGATATGGTTAATTTTGTTTATCCGAATCTCTTGGATAATATTTTGGATCAGACCTTCTTTAAAGAACGTGCTATTCTAACTCCTAAATTGTCCGATGTTGCTATGCTAAACGAGCACCTAATGTCTATGATTCCTGGTGAAGAAAGGACTTTTTTGAGTTCGGATAAAATTCTTAAGCAAGGTGGGACTTCCTCTGTTGAGGATGATGAAATCACCCCTGAGATCTTAAATACATTATCATGCTGAGGGATTCCTGATAATAAATTAATCTTGAAAGTTAAAGTTCCAGTAATGCTATTAAGAAATATTGATCAGTCGAGAGGTTTATGCAATGGCACGAGATTGCTTATTACAAAATTAGGGAATCATGTTGTTGAGGCAATTGTACTTACAGGAAGCAATATAGGGGAAACTGTGTTAATCCCTAGAATGACTATGAGCCCATCAAGTCATACATTTCCTGTAAATTTCCAAAGAAGACAATTCCCCCTGATTGTATCGTTTGCCATGACTATCAACAAGAGTCAAGGACAATCACTTTCACATGTTGCAATTTATCTCTCTAAGCCTGTCTTCACTCATGGGCAATTATATGTGGCACTGTCTAGAGTAAAGAGTAAGCATGGATTGAAGATATTGATACTTGATGAAAATGACTGCGTTACGAATAGTACCCTTAATATAGTTTACAAGGAAGTATTTTAAAGACTGCTATAGTATATGATATAACTTCGTTGTATGGTACAGGTAAAGACAAAAAAATGACTGTTTATTCGCGTCTCTTTTCCTTATCTATCTTAAAAGATATGACCTTTATTATCCTATTTTCTTTCATATTTTTAATGTAATAATGAATGACTGTTTTGTTATTTAAAAAATGACTGTTTGAGACCTTAGAAATACCGACAAAATGAGTTTGGCCCGGAGGGCGACCCACCGTACCAAACAAACCAATTTTTTTTCAAAGTGCATCGGCACGGTAATTCACTGGTTAAATTTACAAAACCGTCATCTAGTATGAATAGATAAGAGTAATGGAATAGATACACTGCTTCCCATTTTTTCAATTCGTTGATTCAGCTCCAACCTTCTAATTCTAGGGAGTGGGAGGACTCTTCTGCTGTCAGTGGGTAATAACCTCCGCAGAAGGTTCTCTGTGGATTTTCCAGCAAACAAGACAAAATCAATTTTTGGGTGGAGAAGAGAAGAAAACACTGTGAAAATAAGAGAGAGAGAGAGAGAGAGAGAGAGAGAGAGAGAGAGAGAGAGAGAGAATATTAGGATAGATATTCATCGTAGTGATTATCCGATATCGTCATCAAAAGGGTTTCGTCACAAACCTTGTGATGATGAAACCCAGATTCTGAAAAAAAAAAAAAACAATTTCTTCACATAACCAACTCTAATTTATCTTCCTGCATCGAAACCTTGGGCTTTACTTGTCCTCTTTCATCATTCTGTGCTTTTGATTTGTCGAATGTTGTCGTGCTTCGCGGCGGCGCTGTCTCTTGTCGGATTGTGACGAAACGGGTTTCGGTTGCTTTGTTGTGTTTGGTCCCATTCGGGTATTTTGATTGTCGCTTGGCGTTTCACCATCTCTGTCATTGTTGGTGGTTCTGTTTCTTTTCCTTCCCAAGCTGGGTTAAAAAATTTTTCTTAGGGTTTTGGGAGGATCCAAGGTTAAAAGTTGGTTTTTTCCTTCGAAAATCTATGCTGGGTATGTGGAAAGTTGAACTGTTGTTCCACTTGGTTCATGACTAGTGCTTTTTTTTTCCTGGTGATTGTTCCACTTGTTTACACTAAGATTAAACTGAATTGCATAGCTGAGAACTTTTATTTGGTCTTGAATTTTGGTTTGGGATTTTGTTGTGACTTGTGTTTGTGACCTTGTTGTCGTGTTGATTGGGACTTTAGTGGTTGAGAAGTCCTCCTGTTAAGGGGATAAGATGAGTTCCAATGTTAGTGGAAGCTTGGTTCATAAGGGCAAGCTTTTGGTTCGTATTGCTGAGAATGGACACTCATTTGAGTTGGATTATGATGAGAGTGCACTTGTTGAGGCAGTTATGAGGTCTATTGAATCGAAAACTGGGATTAGCTTTGGTGATCAACTTGTTCTTTGTTTGGATATGAAGCTTGAGCCGCAGCGGCAGCTTTCTGCTTACATGCTTCCTTCCGATGACCGGGAAGTGTTTGTGTTCAATAAAGCGCGGCTGCAAACCAACTCACCACCTCCTAAACCCGAGCAATGTGATGTTCCTGATGGTTTGGAGCCTCTTTCACAGTCTTCCTCCCATGATCCCCACCCTCTTGATGATGCTTTGGACCCTGCTTTGAAGGCTTTGCCTTCTTATGAGCGGCAATTCAGGCACCATTACCATCAAGGAAATACAATTTGTTGTCGTACCGTAGCAAAGTATGAGCATTGTGAGAGGCTTTTGAGGGAGCAGATGGTTCAAGAGAGAGCAGTGGAGGTTGCAAGGGGTAATTTGGATCATTACTATAGAATAATTAACCAAAACTATGGGGACTTCATGAAACGCTATATGCAACAACACTGGATGCATTCTGATCTTTTGATGAATTTTGGGAGGGATGTTGAGAGGTTAAGATCCATCAAAATTCACCCTGCTTTACAAACTGCTAAACGCAAATGCTTACTGGATCTTCTGAAGGAAGAAAACTTGCAGAAGTCAGTGGAGAGTTGCACCAGCTCCCACAAGCAGTTTGAGAATAAAGTTTCACAGTTTAAGCAGGCTTTTGGTGAAGTGAAGCATAGGGTCGAGGACTTGTTGTCCAGCAGGGCTTTCTTTCCCATCAAGAATTTAGAACAGACAATTAAAGATCATCAGAGATATGTAACTGAACAAAAGAGTATCTTGCAGTCTTTGAGGTTAGTGTTGGTATATTTTCCGTGTGCAAATAGCTTCCTAATATCCATAATGAAAGCATGAAACTGCTTTGAATCTTTAATAATGAATTTCAAGAACTATCATGAACCAACTAGCCCAAAAGCTTAAATTGTGAGGTGAAGACACATGAATAGTTTTATATTAGCATCACTAACACACCCTATCATGCAAGAGCCTTTTGGGCTTGAAGCATAGACTATGCACGAGCCTACCTACCCTATGTTGAAATTCAAGTGTTTATTAGAATAGGGGCAGTAAGGATTATACTCTATACCACTTGGTCTTAAGGGCCTTGATACCATATCATGAAGATGGGTGAAGACACATGAATGTTTTGATATTAACATTTTTAACAAGGACCAATTCTCCCAAAAGGTTTAGCTATTAGATGAAAGTTCATGAATAATTTGATATCTAACACGCCCCCTCATGAAAGAACCCTTTGGGCTTGAAGCATATATAATGCACATGTCCATACCTTATGCTAAAATTCAACTTTTGTGTTGAAGAATAGGGATAACAAGGATCAAACTTCTGACCACTTGGTTATAAATACTTTGATATCATCTTATGAATCAACTATGCGAAAAGCTCAAGCTTTTAGGTGAAGGCTCATGAATGTTTTTTATATCTAACAATGAGAAAAACATTAATAGAAAAGATCAGACCTACTTGAGTACTGAATCATGAATTTGTGGATAATCTCTGATTGCTGGTGGGAGGATGCTGTTCAGTTGTGAGACCTTCTAGACCAGCTAATAATTTGTTCCACATATGTCAAACACCATTACATGATAGTTACTTTCATCTTTGAAATTATTTCTGTCATGTGAAATCTCTGGGATCTATTCCGTAATTTGTGGTGCCGTACTGAAAAAGTTCAAAGGTTGTAATGTGTTTCAGAGGAAGCGTCTATGGTGTGTTATCCTGTCTTTACAGTGGCATCGTGTTTTGAATTTGATAGTTTACTAGATGTGAGGGAATATGGAATAGTGCTTGGTTCCAGATACCCCTTGATTTACTCATATTATTTGCTGCGATGCAATTTATATTTATCATTCCATGCTTTCCTTTCAACTTCCGAGATACTTATCACTATATCAACAGAGCTTATAAATTACACTTTTATGGCTTTTTCTGCAGCAAAGATGTTCACACTGTGAAGAAACTGGTGGATGATTGTCTGTCCTGTCAATTGTCCTCCTCACTTCGTCCTCATGATGCAGTTTCAGCCTTGGGTCCTATGTATGATGTGCATGACAAAAATCATTTGCCTAAGATGCAGGCCTGTGACCGTGCTATTTCTAAGCTACTTGACTTTTGCAAGGACAAGAAGAATGAAATGAACTTATATATCCACAATTACATGCAAAACATAACTTATGTTACTTATCTTATCAAAGATCAGAAGCTACAGTTTCCCGTCTTTAAAGAGGCAATGACTCGACAGGATGACTTATTTGTGGATTTAAAGTTGTTCCATGGTATTGGCCCTGCATACAGAGCTTGCCTTGCTGAAATAGTGAGACGGAAGGCTTATATGAAGTTGTACATGGGCATGGCTGGGCAACTGGCTGAAAGACTTGCTACAAAGCGGGAGTTTGAGGTCAGGAGACGGGAGGAGTTTCTGAGAGCACATAGTTCTTGCATACCTAGAGATGTATTGGCTTCTATGGGATTGTTTGACACTCCTAACCAATGTGATGTCAATATAGCTTCATTTGATGTTAATTTGCTTAATATTGACATATCAGACGTGGACCGTTATGCTCCTGAGTATCTAGCAGGAGTAACATCCAAGGTGGAGAAGCATGGAAGTTTGAAAGGTTCATCTACTTTGTGTACTGACAGCTCTCACACAGCTGATGCTGTAGATACTACTGCTGGCTCTATTGACAGATATGATTCTGAGGAGCTCCTTGATGGAAGTGAGTTGATCGAAATTGCTGGAACTAGCAAAATTGAAGTTGAGAATGCAAAACTGAAAGCAGAGCTTGCTGCCAGAATAGCTTTAATTTGTTCTCTATGTCCAGTCGCCAAGTATGAATCCCTGGATGATGAAAGGCTGGATAGTATACTGAAGAATGCCACAGAGAAGACAGCTGAAGCCTTGCATTTGAAAGATGAATATATCAAACATGTCCAATCCATGCTTGAGATGAAGCAGATGCAGTGTATCTCATATGAGAAACGTATACAAGAATTGGAGCAGAAATTGTCTGATCAGTATGTGCAGGGGCAGACGATGTCAGGCGTAAATGATGCAGCTGACTATCCTCGTCTGTCTGGGAAGACAGATAATTACAAGCCAGAGTTTGAGAGAGGTGAAGCCCACATGCCTTCTGTATCTACTACTGAGCCCATGGATGAGGTTTCATGCATCTCAAGTTCATTGGATGCAAAACTTGGTCTATTTGCAGAACATTCAGGTAAAGCTTCAGATGGGGTGGATGAGAGCATGTTGGATTCCTCTGGAATACAGAACCCACTGTTGGATTCAACTATGGCGGAGCCTCAAGTGCAAAGTGGTGACAAGTTCAGTAAAGATAAGATAGTAAAACAATTGGGCATGTCACTAACAAACAGTTCTACTGCTGAGAGCATGCCCGTGCTTCATGATCTTTTACCTTGTGACTCAACAGTTCATCCAGACATGCATTCCAAAGTAAATGATAAATTGTTGGAACTTCAAATTTCACTTGCAGACAAGTCCAGTCAATTGAATGAAACTGAAACCAAGCTTAAAGCTGTTTTGGAGGAGGTTTCTGTGCTCAGAAGGGAGTTAGATGCAAGTCTAAAACTACTTGATGAATCTCAGGTAACAATGTATGAAAAAAATGCAATTAGGGTTGCAATCGAATTTCCTGAAAAGTGGTTGCGTCATTCTTCTATATTGTTGTGTATTTGTTCTGTTTACTAACTTAATCTCATTTGCCAATTTTTATCCAAGAAAAAACAAACCTCATTTGCTAATCTCTCTGTTTTTGTTTTCTCCTCTTTCTTACACATCCATTTGCATTCTTACACTGACACTTCACCTAGCCTTCATCATCAACACCCATGTTTTATTTCTGTTGTGTTTAGTTTCTGCAGATCCATTTAAATGATAGTACTTGCAATTTTAATAACAGATTTTCTTAAGCATATGTATTTTGATCCTGTTGGTCAATAAAACCATGCCAAGAAGAGGGTTTGTCGACTTATGGCAATCTTACCAGTAGTAGACGGGTCAAGCTCATAAGGATGTATTGTTCGGTAGGCTACATGTTGAGCACCTGTTGGGTTGGATAGGACATCTTGGTAAAATCTAACCAATTTAAATATTCTTAATTTAGTTGGAAGAAATTAAGCATACAAAATGTTGATTCTAATAATTAGCAGTTGATATTGAAGGCAAATTGATATGGACTATACATAGTTATTATCAATATTATTATTATTATTATTATTTTGGTGCGTGGAGGGTTCAAACACTTGTGGGAGGATTGAACCTCCCAATATCAGCATCACACGCAAGTCTTAAAGACTTGGGCCATTGCCTATTGAGCTACAAGCTTGTTGGCATACTACAATTTACCCATAAGGTCATTGTCATTGGCTCAGTAGTTTTCATAATTATTGTTGGGGCTTTTATTTGTTTTATTATGTGTAATGTAATCTTACTTATTCCAACAGGGGTCCATGGTCCAACTAAATGTGCATTTTGTTATATTCTAATGTATTTTTCCTTTCTCACTACAGATGAATTGTGCTCACCTGGAGAATTGTTTGCATGAGGCAAGAGAGGAAGCGCAAACACAAAAAAGTTCGGCTGATAGGAGGGCCTCGGAGTATGGTTTATTACGTGCATCTGTTCTTAGAATGCGCAGCCTTTTTGAAAGACTCAAGACTTGTGTTTATTCTCCTCGTGGTGTGGCTGGTTTTGCAGATCCCCTGCGTGCTTTGGCACAATCTTTAGCCAAGTAATTTATTTATTTGTTTATTTATATTATTTTTTGGTAAGACCATGAGGTGTCCTCACACCCTTTGGGTGTGGGACTACTCCCTGCTCAGGCATTGGTTGACCCTGGCCACAATGTGCTTCCAGTGGGCAAAGTTCACTTACATAGGGCCAAGTTTGTTAACTGAGCCACATTTCACAGTTATCTTTAGCCAAGTAGTTTACATACATTAATTACCTATATCATCATATCCTCAGTGTGAAATCATGCCATCCCCTTCAATGTAGCACCCAATCCCCTCTTAGAAGGAATAAAATGCTTTATGGTGGTAGAACATTTAGGCTGGTAGAACTTTGTGTTTTGTTATTATATACAGGGAGTAATAAAAATTGTAAAAAATAATAAACTCACTTCCTAAACCATTTAGGCTGGTAGCACTTTGTGTTTTGTTATTATATACAGAAAAATTGGAAAAAATAAAAAAGTGATAAAATGAGATTAAGCAGGAGAATAAAGAAAATGAAGAGAAGGATACTCTCTTCTCTCTTCTATTGTGATGTGCTTTGCATTGATATTTTTTGCTAATTTGGGAATTTTGACTAGAAGAATGACTGAAACTTTCTTTTTTCAGTTCTGCTAATGACAAAGATGATGATGATATTGCTGAGTTCCGAAAATGTGTTCGTGTATTAGCTGATAAAGTTGGTTTCTTATCGAGGCACCATGAAGAACTGCTTGAGAAGCACCAAAGAATTGAAGCTGCCAATGAACTGCTTCGTAAGGAACTGGAGGAAAAAAATGATCAGGTCAAAACTTATTACAATAAGCATCAACTTGACAAGCAGGTGACGTATGTTCTTATGTCAATATGTCTATGATGGTTTTTGTTTTATATTTAATCCTTTGAGCGCGAGGGTAGGGGAGATGGTCGATTGTACATAGTCTTACTTTTATGTTTTTGCAAAGAGACTGTTTCTTATACTCGAACCCATGACCTTCCGGTCGGTCACAAGGAGCAATGGCTCGTCCTCTGATGACTACTTAATAGTGTGAATAGTTTTTGTTGTGACTGCATATAATTTGTGGTTTCAACCAAAAATCTTCTGGCATATTACACATTAAAAATTCTGGACCAAGCTTATTGTGGCTGAGAAATCAACTAACGGAAAGTTGTTCTCTGCTCGCGATTTTGTTACAGGCTAATAAAGAGAAGATTTGTTTTGGTCGCCTGGAAGTTCATGAGATTGCTGCCTTTGTGCTTACTTCAGGTGGCCATTATGAGGCGGTTACTCGGAACTGCTCTAACTACTACTTATCTACTGAATCTGTGGCCCTATTTGTGGACCATCTTCCAAGCAGACCTAACTACATAGTTGGACAAATTGTGCATATTGAACGCCAAACTGTGAAGGCACTGTCTGAGCAAGTTAGGGAAGATAAACTGAGGGATTATTCATCAACTTCAAACCCATATGGTCTTCCTTTTGGTTGTGAATATTTTGTAGTGACAGTAGCTATGTTACCTGATACCACCATTCATTCACCATCTACTTCCCGATCCTGCATCTTCCTGGTGGCAGATAGATGTGATGGAAGAGTTTAATTGTGCATAAACTCAACACTTCTAAATGTTCTTTTTGGGAGTTGAACTAGTTTTAACCATTTTGTATAGCTGATGTTCCAATTCAGATTCAACATCCCCGTTGTACATATTTTGCTACCTTTTGATATTGAATAGGTTGTGAATATTATTTAACACTTGGTTGCTTATATGGTCATTTGAATGTGGTCAAACGAGATGGGCCAATATTCCTACACCGTAAAATGCTTTCCTTATCTGCCTGTTAGTGTGTGAAGTCAAAGTTTGGGTAAATTGATATGGTATTTAGAGGGTGTTTGGTAGGAGGTGAAATTTTTTTTTTCTAAGAAAATGGGGTGGGAAAATTATTTGTCTATGTTTGATAGAAGGTGAAGTAAAAATATGGCTGAGAAAGTTTTTTTCCTGTCATTTGCTTTTCTATGTAAAATAGTTGGGAAAGATTACTATTGAAGAGGTATAATTGTTTTTTTTCCATGTAGTGGGAAAATTAATACACAACATCACTAAAATTAATTCAATATTCCCAACAAAAATTTGGCCTATCAAACATCTTTTAATAATTTATTCAGGGGAAATTTTTTTTCATCATATGCTCGGAAATTATGTTTTTCTGGTAAAAAAAAATTTATTCTCTACCAAACGTTCCCTTGGGGTTTTAGACTAATGAATTTTTAAATTTAGGGATCATGTTATTTTCACCTTTTTTGTATGGTTACATAATTTATCAGTTGATTTTATGTGATTTTAAATTTGTCATTTAGGTTCATTATGATTATAAAAAATAAATATAAAGGATATGAATTTTTTTTTAAATTCACAAATGATTTGTTTTCATTTGAAATATTGAATGATTGAGTTGCAAAAATGGGGTTGTATTGAAGTGAATTTAAAAATCATATCTCAAATGAGAAATGACATATTTGTGAATTTTAAACTTGTTTTCATTTGAAATATTGAATGATTTGTCATTATAAAGGATACAATTTCAGTACCTATAACACCAAGGGGGGTGTATTGAAGTGAGATTTCAAAAGATTTTAATGGATTGTTTTTGGACAAAAAAATCTGTTGGTATTCAATTAAAATTTTAATGGATTGAAAAAAAGTCACGTGGTATTCGATTAGAATTTTAAAGGATTATTTTAGAATCCGTCCAAATCCGTTGGTATTCAGGATTTTAAACAATGGAATCACAATCTTGTGGGATTCAAAAATCCGACGATTTTAATGGATTTTCTATTGTGTGAATTTCGTGAGACTTTTTAGTGAAAAAATATAAATAGGATGCCTCTCTCACAATCTCATCCTAACCAGTAGGATTTCTTGAGATTCTTTTATTGTAGTGTTTTCTTCTTCCTTTGGCAGGTTGACTGCTCGAAATTGAGTTCCTCCATGACAACTTCGTCAAAATTAAAAAAAAAAAAACATATTTTTGGGCGATTTTCATAACAAAACAACCCAGAAACAACAAACCAACAAGATTTTAATATAATCTATCTCAAAAATAACATATTTTTGAGCCATTTTTGAGAAATTTTGAAAGTTTAAAAAATGATTTTTCAAGCTATGGGTCGCGGTTTTTCTTGACACAAAAGCGTGTGATTTTTGTATTAAAAACAACATAAAACAGTGAAAAAATAACAGGAAAACTGAAATCCTCAAACCAATTTTCGTTTTACATCAATGAAACAATATCAATTTAAAGAAATATTGAAACTTTCATAATATGAACCCTATATTTCGTAACAATACATTCATGAACGAAATTCTTTCACTATAGGAAACGATTTCAAACAATTTTTGTGTCAATAGATAACTAAAAGCTTGTTTATCAAAAGTCCCACAACAATTTAAGGTTTTAATGTATCGATTGAAAAAAATTTGAATTTTTTTCTAAACTTTCATTAATTAAACCCAAAATTTCATATTCGAAATTCTCTTATAATATTCAATGAAAATATGCATATAATATATGGTTAGAAAACTCTCATCACGTAAAACAAAATCCCCAAGGTTTTCAAAATCAATTGCAAAAAATTTCAAACGAAATTTTATCATGAACTTTAGGTTCTATATGCAAATTTAGAATTATTTTTATAATTAAAAAAATTGGGTCTTATAATCATATATGCATAGCTTTGATACCAAATGAAGAAGATACTTTTCAACCCATTAGATATGTGAAAAGCTGTTGTTTAGTAATTTCAAATGTTTGTTAAAAATTATATTATGTTTTACTAATTGAAAAAATTATATTAGGTTTTACTTTTTTTTATTAATTTCATTGCATTTCTTTGTTATTTTTTTTATGGGGAAGATTATATTTACAACCTATTTTTGTTTACAACCATATCTTAACCGTTGATTTTCGTCAATCAATGGTTATTATCTTCCCAAATCAAACTCATTAATTAATATTTAATTTGCAATGAATGATAACCATTGATTGACGAAAATCAACGGTTAATATATGGTTGTAAAATGTTGTAAACAAAGATAGGTTGGAAGTATAACATTTCCTTTTTGTATTGACTCTTGTCATTTTGAATGTTTGTTAAAAATTCATATAGTTTTTTAAAATATTATAAATTCATATTGTCCTTTCAAATCTTATACATTCTATTAAAATTCTTTAAAATCTAATCTTAAGAAATCTTGATTGTAAAAAAAGTCTTTAAAGTCTCTCAAATTCTAAATAGTCTTTTAAAATCTATAAGATTTTTTAGCTCAAAAAAATCTTTTAAAATCCTAATCCAATACACCCCCTAATATTATTTTAGTTATGTACTATGTAACGAATTTCAATTTAATTTATAGATAGAGATATCATTTACTTAACATGAAGCACCTGTATTTCAAGCATTATATGTTTGTTTGAGCCTTTGTTAGATAATAATATGTGATTTATTATTTTCATATTAAAATATTCAAAATTGATTTTATTTTTTACAGGTATTTGAGTATGTTTATAATTTCTTTTATTATAGATTTGCATATACTTACCGGGTTATGCGGTGGAATCAATGACTCACTGGTTGAACTAGTGACCTAGTGCCTCGACCGGGTCAATGACTGGGTCAGGTTTAATAAAATCGCCTATTTCGATCTTGTACTTGTATGAATTTTTTTATTTTTCTTAATAATTATCTTATATTATTACCATATTATAAATTAAAATTACTATCTTAAAAATTATTCAAGTTATATTAGAATTTAAAAAACAAAGCACATACTCATTCTGTATGAATAATTGCTTTAAATTTAAATTTACAATTTATTTTTCATTAATAATAATATCAATTAGATCCTTATGATCTTATACATGTAAAAAAATATTTTTCTTATTTATTATTCTATATTAATATAATATTATAAATAAATTATAGTAATATAAATTATTAAGAATAAAATTAAAAATTAAAAATTATTTATTTAAAAATTATGGTAAAGTTAATAATTTATTTTAAAATTATCTTAAAAATTAAAAAATATTATTTAAGAGAATCAAATGCCTGCATTTAATCCAAATAAATTTTAAAAAAGTTTATTTATTTTTATCATGAAAATAAATTTAAGTTAAATATTATCTTATTGTATATATTTTTGTCTGATATTATTATAATATTATAAAAAATTTAATATATTAAATTTATTTCTATAATACACTTTTAATTTATCTCAAATGATAGTATTAGTTGTAAATATATTCTTAAAATAAATACAAATGTAAATATATTTTTCAAATAATTTCAAAAATAAATAACTTTAAATATTTTATAAATTTCAATATAAATAATCATTTTTATTAAAAGTTTATTAGGTAATATCATAATTATATAAATTAAAAATTAGGAAAAAAAAAAGAATTTTATATTTATTAAGTGATATAGTTTTATAACAAGGACGAATGTAAGCAAAAATTTAAAACTATAAGAAGTTAACTGATAAATTTATTTACTTACAATAGGTATGAATAATAAATTTAAAATCAGAAAGAATTAATTAAGTGACCTACCATGAAATCACAAAACGTGAATAAGGGAGAGGAGAATGTACCAAGACAGTTTGGACCTTGGATGATCATGATGGTATCTAAGAATCGTAAAGCAAAGAGGAAGGGTAATGTCACAACTCCAGGAAAGAAGGAAAATCTCCCTAGTGGGACGAAAGATCAGGGATCGATTCGTCTTCTCGGGATTAATCATCTGTTTGTTCCACCAGACTCATCTGGAAAATGGTTCTTTGATGTGATTGTGTTATTACTGATATGTATGGATGCACTTATATATATATATATATATATATGCATGCGATGGGTGTGCTTCTACACAAGACGGAAGTCCGTGAGTACACGTGGTGGGAATTCTTTAGAGGGGAGTGTTTGTTTCACACGCGGGGGTTATCCCTGACCCTGAGTGTGGTAGGTATCCACATACCGTGGGATATATATATATATATATCTGAGTTGAGTGTGATTTTGAGTAGATTGCAGAGGTGCATAACACACACCTATATTGTTTTCTGGCCTGTAGGATTTTATACACAAACTAAGGACGGCCTTGGGAAGACCAATCAATGGATCTCGGAAAACTCTTCGCAGACAACTTCCCACTCTGGTAATTGAGGAAAAGAAGTCTCCCTCTAAGGAATCGATTGAAAAGGAAAAAGGAAGCGAACAAGATGGAGATGGGAGACAGTTGATGAAGAAAGGAAGCATAACTCCAATAGGAAGAATCGCCAAACCAACCTTGCTGAAAAATACTCAAAAAAACCGTAAAATCTATCGAGTTGGGGATAGCACAAAAAGTTATGTGGGAGAAAATCAAGGAAACTAAGGCACATGATGTGATATGGAGGTGGCTGATAATGGAGCTCTACTGGAGCAAGAGAGGGAAACTAGATAGATTTTGTGCCAACAACCATCACTGGAGGCCTAAGTTCGAAGATGCTAAAGCTGTTGTGCTTCCAAGGGTAATTAAGCTCAGACCATAACCCATTGGTTCTTAAAATGTGTGTTGTACCGAATAACAGACCCAATAGACCATTCCGGTTTGAAGCAGCTTGGATGACTCATCATCAGTTTCAATCCTTTTTTGATAACTCTTGGAAATCAGATCAGGAAATCATCCCTATGTTAGAGAAGCTCACCCCCCCTTGGCCCTTGCACGCATGGAACCATAATATCTTCAGACACATTGCTAAAAGAAAGGTGAT